TTTCATATCTCTCAAAGAATATTTCATCAATGAAACAGTTTTTATTTAAAAAAAAATCAACTTGATAATTAAAATTCACTTGAGAAAGGCGAATGAAACGTTCAAAATTCCAAAGAAAGATTTTTGATTGATAAAAATTTCTTCTTTAATATTCTTTCTATTTTCTTATTTTTAGACCTTTCATTCAATCAACCAAAGTTTTGCCCAACAGCCACTTGGAATTCCAATGGTATTACTGTTGCTAATCAATCAATTGTTGGCCAACATCCTAACGCTTTTTTTGTGAGCAGAAATAATACAGTTTATGTCGCTAATCAAGAAAAGAACACAATTGTAATGTGGCAAGAAGACAGTGTCAATCCAACAAAGATCATTCCTGGTAATTTTATGCAACCCTTGTCTCTTTTCGTGACATCAAATGGTGATATTTATATTGATGATGGTGATTATAATGGTCGAGTGCTGAAATGGAGTGCAGCAGCAAGTACCTTTACCACGGTGATGAATATCAACTCATCATGTATTAGTTTATTTGTCGATATCCATGACACTCTTTATTGTTCGATGCCTGATCATCATCAAGTAGTGAAAAGATCATTAATTGGTTCTGTGATGAATTCAAATGTTGTTGCTGTTGGTACAGGTATTTATGGATCAGCCTCGAATCAACTCGGAAGTCCTCGTGGAATATTTGTCGATGTGAATTCCGATTTATACGTGGCAGATTGTGGAAATGATCGAGTTCAATTGTTTCAGCCGGAAGAAGCACATGGCATCACAATAGCTGGAAGTACAACACAAAATCCGACAATTACACTTCGTTGTCCAAGTGGAATTACATTAGATGCTGACAAATATCTATTCATCGTGGATTCTGGCAATCATCGTATTGTTAGTTCAAGCTTGAATGGTTTTCGATGTTTAGCTGGATGTTATGGACAAGGATCACAATCCAATCAATTGGCTAGTCCACTTAGTTTGAGTTTCGATCGCTCTGGAAACATATTCGTTACAGATCAAACAAATCATCGAATTCAAAAATTTCAATACTTGGAAGAATCATGTGGTAAGTATTGAAATAGTTTAATATAACGTTCTATCTTTTCATAGTAGGATTAGTTCTCTACAAAAATTCTGATATAGAAGAAAATTTATTAAAGCTATTCATTTCTCCATGCATGAGTAGAAATATTTTCTGAAGAAAATGATTCAGTAATAAAATTTTGTCATAAAGTTCTTGATCTATACGAATCAACTGATGTAAAGATTATGTCTTAGATTATTTTATACATAACTACTTTCAAACACATGATTTATTTGACTCTCTATTCGAATAAATGTGTATTACACTTTAGTACTTTCAAATTAAAAAATGTGTAACCCACATATCACTCATTTATTATGCGCACTTATTAGTAATTGGAAGAGAAAGGAGTGCCGGAAAACTTAACATAAAATTTACACGAGTTTTATAAAATTGAAGAAAATGTTGAATACATGCTAATGATATGAATAATACTAATTATTAGCTCTGTACACATAAGACACATATAGGATTACTGAGCATTTCGCAGAATTACTCTAAAGAGATATTGAACTCCCGATTTTATAATAGTCTACAGATAGTCTTCAGCAACTGTTTACATGAAATATACGACAAACGAAGACATTATTTAGTTGCCAAGAAATTTATGAATAAAGTTTTAGCTGATTTATGAATATTTTCTCGAGTTATGAACGTTCTACAATATGTCTAACGATGGTAACGTTGATTGAAGTTGTTCAGTGAAACTGAACACAAAGAAATCTAACGGGTAGTTTCAATTATAGCTTAAGCGAAATAGCTTCTTATTTTTTTTGTTTCATAAATAACATCAATCGAAAAATAATAATAAATAAATTTTCTACTTTTATTAAATAGATATGTCATCGGTGGTTGAAACAATGTACTCATCTGTATTAACATCAAATCATCCAATATATCCACGTACTGGTTGTGATATTTCGTACTACTATGAAGCCATAAAAATTCAAGTTTATAAAAGTGGTCATTATAGTTTTAATAGTATGAGCAATATCAATACATACGGCTACATGTACGCGAAGTATTTTGATCCATTTAGTCCGTCTGCATATTTAATCGCCGCAGATGATGATAGTTCCAGTAATTCTCAGTTCAATATTAGTATTCCTCTTGAGATCAATAACGAATATATATTGGTTGTAACAACATATAATTTAATTGAAACGGGAGCATTCTCAATCCGTGTGTCTGGTCCCGACAGTGTTGGTCTCGAATATCTAAGTAAGTATCGATACTATTTGTAAAAATTAGTTTCAAAAGTATGAATTGTAGGAAATATTTATATACTTAATATCTCACTGATTAAAAAATTTTAGCTCTTCATTTATTCAAGAACAATTTCGATACTTCTATGTCTTTGTTCTAAAAAAGAATAGTACTTAGAATACTTTTTCATATTCCATCTAGTATCTAATTTCTTTGAATGTCTTAGATAAGTTTTTATTCGCAATATACATTACACTCAACAGAGATAAATTTTCAATGTTCATACACAATTGAGAAAAGTGATTTCCCGTTATGTATTGACTAAAATGTTTGTTCTTTAACGTAAGTTCAAGATACGTGCTACTCGTATGTCACAGAAACTTGATTAGATAAATACAATAAAGTTCCTTTCTTGCATTCTATATAAAATAATTTTTATGATTTCTTTCTGTTTGTTCACCGAAATCGTCTGTGTTCTTTTTAATAAAATAGTGACCTCAGGAAAATGTATTTGTAAAAAAATCACTATTCAGAAACTATTTTCAATGTTAATAAATATATTAAGTATTCTGATTGATTAGATAGTCCACCAGTGATCCAATCGACATACTTATCAATGTTGACAGAGAATAGTCAACATTTTCCTCAACCCTCCGGAACTGGAAAATATTATTATGAAAGTATACAAATCAATGTGAACATGTCTGGATTATTTATTATTTCAAGCAAGAGTCGGTCCGATTTATTCGGGTCTATCTACAAGAATAGTTTCAATCCATTAAATCCGACTGAAAACTTACTCGAAGTGGATGATAATGGATGTTCTGATAATCAATTCAAACTCTTAATTGCTTTTGAAGTCAATACTAAATACATATTAGTTGTAACAACATCACAAGCAAATGTTACAGGAACATTTTTAATCATTGTGTCTGGACCAACCAAAGCCGTTCTTGAACGTACTAGTAAGTACTCATTTTATACTGTAATAAAAAAAGTGTAAATGCATTCAGTTTCATTATGTATTGAGTTTTACATACTAGTTGTTTTTAAAATGATAGATATGTCTATGGAGTTTTTCTTTAGACGAATGAAAATCCGAGTAATCTATTATAATTTATTACATTTATTAGTATTTCTTTTTTTAATGCGAGTACTTTATTGAATTTTCCAATCAGCTAGATGATTTAGTGTCGCGCATATACATCATTCATAAAATTACTTTGTATTCGAAAATGGCAAGTGACTAACTGATACAGATGAATCGATCCTATGCGTTTGAGAAAATCGAATTATCTTAATTCTCAAACAGAATCACAAGATAAAGATGGTTTATTGAAAATGATAAAAACATGTGTAAACATCGGTGCTTCAGCAAATGAGTTCTAAAGATTGAAAAGAAAGAAGAAGTATGGGTATTTCAATGTATCTATGGATGTTGGAATCAGTGAAGATATGAGTAGATCTGGCGATATGAATGAGTACGCGGATATCATACTTACCTTCAAATAGATTCGTTTATTTAGATATTTCATCTACATCTACATTTAAATCTACATCAACAACGACAACAACAAAAACTGTTTCAACTACATCTAAATCTATATCAACAGCAACTGCATTCAGTAAGTGAAAGATAATATCTATAAATAATGTTGAATTAATTAGAAAGATTTTAAATATCGATTTTTCTGATCATTATAATATTTCAAGCAGATAAAAGTGATTTAGTCTTCTAAATAATTAATTCTGATAAAAAAAATTGAAGAATTGATCTTGTCTTTTAGCAACAACAACGAAACCATCATATGCTTGCATGAATTATCATCCTACATGGATATTAATTATGATTTGCACAATTATTAATTTAATGAAAAAACTAATATAAACTATTATTTATTTTCAAATTCGTTTCATAACTTAGCTTATGTCATTTGACATTGCTTTGCTTTTTATCTTATGAATAAATTCATTTAGTTTTCGAAAAACTTATTTGAATCTTGAGGGTGGGTGAGAATGGATGTTTCTAAAATAAAAGGAGCTGTGAACTCATTTCGATAACGGCATAGTAAATACACAACAATAAGAGACATAATTTTCATACCTTTTCAACGATATTTACTGTAAAACTTTATTAAAACAACATATTTATATAGTTAAACATCGTTTTTTGCATTGGAATTTGTAAATGAAATCAGTTCACCAATTATGGCGTGATAGATTAAGCACAATAATGCAAACAATTACACATTTGTTATTCATCAAATTTGTCTTTAGTATCTATATATTTAACGTATTCACATTAACAGATAATTATCAAACATGTATGCGTAAACCATTTCAGTTCATTACCCAATTTATATTTTCTGTTTAGTATAAGTACTCATCGACCATTTATAAATGAATCTGATCAAAACACATGCAGATGCAAGTCTATTTATCATAGTTATTTGTAAAAATAATTCATCAAATTGTATTTTCAAAGGTAGTTTATTACCATTTAAATATAAACTTGAATTTACTATTGATGGTGTATTATATAGTAATAAATATTCGAAAATGGATCATCAATGTTATAGAACTAAAATAATTAATTATGATTTTCTTTATGAACCAATGAATTCTCATTTATGGTATGATCAATCAGAGAATGAAAACATTTATTCAAAATGGATAATTAACAAAGTTGATGGATAAAATTTATCAGATTTCGTCTTTCAGGGTGTGGATGTGAAGGAAGAAGATACATATACCCACACCCACACCCTGAAAAGTTTATCTAGAGGATAGATATGGATGAGCATGTTGCACTGATCATGAATCCACTCTCACCCTCTGTCAATATCAAGATTTGATCGACTTTTTTTGTAAAACAATATTATCCAACATACATACACTAAAAATACAATTTCCTGTCATTCTTAAAGCATAGAGCAAATAAACCTAAAAAAATGGGTCATTTAATGTGAAACAATTATAAGTACTTTCTATTCTTCACGTATATAATCAATCAACAATCTCTTCTCCTTTCTCTCTATCATGTAGATATTTTTAGTTTTATATTATTTTTATTTATGAGCTTTGTCGAAAATGATTAATATCTTTTAATAATAAACAATTTTTTTTTTAAATATCCGTGATGTTTATTAATGACTCAAAGATCTCTTTTGAATTTGAAGTTGACTTGATAATCTTGAATTGAATGAACTTTGCTCTGATTGACGAGAATGAAAGAGTATTTTAAATGTTTTTTTACGAATAACTGAACTTGTCATTAATAAAATCGGAAAATGTGAACAATGATGAAGAATTTCCATTAATTCTAATATAAGTGCTAAATTATTTGTTGCCATTTTTTGATTATATACAGCTGACCAAGCATTTAATATTCCTGTAGGTGCTGTTAATAATATAAAAGTAATACTTGAAATAAATACATACAATATTACACTTTGTTCTCTCCAATCATTTGTTTTTCGTGTACCTAAACGATGTCGACGTTGATATGCACGACGTTGTAAACCAAATATCAATATAATATTTGTTGATATAATCAATATTGGTAAAATGGCATTATTTAAACCAATAGTTTCAATAAAAATTAAATCAGTTAAAGAATATGAATAACCATAAGATTTATAATATGCATTATCACATGAAAATAATATTGAATGATTTAAATATGTTACAAAACAATATGAAACATCATAGGGTAAAAAGAGAAATGGATGATCATAAATAATAACAAATATTACAAGAAATACAGTTATTATACATGCACGTCGACGAGTTATTAAACAACGACGATTAGTGATCCATACTTTCAAATTACGTTCAATACCTTCAACAATAGAAAAAAAAACAGAATGAAAATCTCTTCCTAATTAATAATATATATGTGAAAGATCTTTTTTTTTGTTTTACCTAGTGCACAAAGAAATAAATAGGATAAATTTTCACTGCTAAGTGTTAAAAACCATGTTATTGAACAAACAAGATATCGATGATCAATATAAAAATAAAGAATATGTACTATATATTCTGCTATTAATTTAATAATATCTGCTATTGATAACGCAATGATAAATATACCATATGGAGTTTTATCAAGAGATTTAGTACGATAAAAAAGTAAACATGAACATAGATTAAGTAAAATTCCAATGATTGTTAATAAACAACCAAGAATAAAAAATAATAAAACAAGATTTTCATTAACATTTACACATGATGAATTCATGAGAGTAACTCCAAAGTCAGATTTTGGATGTGTTTGTCGAGAGAGAATGAGGAATGAGAATATCTTGCTTTGAATTTTTTCTTTTTCTCCTGTCAACGAAAGGAAACAACAAATGTTAAACAAGTATTTATAATCAAACACATATGCTAAATTAACTTTGTTAATGTCAACGAAGATGAACATGACGCAATTATTTATTCTCATAAACTCTTCAACAAATGTTTTTTTTTTAACCATATTTATTCCTTTTTGACACTATCGTCAATAGAAAATATTATTAAGAAACAGAGAGACATATTTGATAAATATATATATGCGATAAAATTTATCTTATTTTTATGATCAGATGGGTAATTTCGAAATTTATTTTTAACAGAATTTAATTGACGATTTCCTTGAACATCAGTTAATTATGTTGTCAGAATTATATCTTGACATATGAATGTATAATTTTAATGTAGACAACGCCGGAAAAGAAAACGTCGAAATGATTAATCTATTTCCTTTAATGTATAACTAAGTACTATTATTTGCGATTGAGGAAGATTGTAGACATTTTTAGTTAATTAATTCTCTTCCTAATTAATATATTTATTATTTAAAATTTAAACTTGACGTTTCGAACAACAATGTCGTTCTTCGTCAGAAGTGATGGTACATCTTCATATAGATATCTTAGGGTGTGGGTGAGTTTGGTTGAGGATGGGAATGTGGGTTTAGGATAAGTCGTAAACCGATACTAACCTACCGACACCCACACCCTCAAGATTTATATTCTTATTTAATTTAATTAAAACCCAATCTTAAATATTAATAATAAAAAATATACATACCAAGGAAGAGAAGTATTAAATTAATAAAAAATATTATGTCCTTCCTAAACAGAACTCAAATATTAAATCTACTGGCTGATTCAATTGATTATTTTGCTTTCCTTTTCCGTTTCCACCTGCGATGATTTCACCTATATTTGAGTTCAGTTTCCATTTAAAAATACGATGATTCTCATAACCAGCAATAAAAATTGATTTATCATTATCGATAAACATCCCACGAGGCTGAGAGAGTTGATTTAATTCATGTCCTTTTCCGTTTCCTCCAGCAACAGTAATTCCAGATTGTTGAAAATTTCTTTTTGTGAAATTTAATTTTAATCAAACAAAACTAATTCCAGATAGTTTCTTCATTCGTTTCAGATTTTTTAATTGTAAATTCCTTATCTGACTTTTATAAAACTTCAATTTCAGACAATGTTTTTAAATGAATATCATTTTTATTTCAATGATTTACATAAAATAATTCTTTTTGAAAATTTTAAACTAAAGTGTTAAACTTAACTTAAATTTATTGAACAATATAAAAACTAGATAATCTTTTCATTAAAATATTAAAAGAAATTTCTCAGATGAAAAACATTGTTACTTTTGAAAAGAATTTTTATTTTAAACGTTTAATGGTACTCTCAATGGCTCATTGAGAAAAAGAATTGGAAAACGATGGATGAAATCTCTTTTCAGTGTTATATTAAGTGATAGAAAAATAGAAAAAACCAAATTTTGAAAAACTTCATGAATACTATTTCCAGAGAAATTGTTATTTCTGATTAGAAAAATAAAAATATTTGAAAAATGAATTTATGAAAAAGTTCTATCTCAGTTTTAAAAATATTAAAACTATTTTTTAATTAATGAAACATACCTTGTTTTATTTGAGATTGAGTTGATATTTGATTTGTTGTTATTGGATTCTTTAATACAGTTGCTGTACTGATTGTAGAATCTTAATAAAACGAAAATACAATGATTTTATTTGACAATAATAAAAAAATATTTAAAAATACTAAAGAATATTAATAAAATATTTTTATTTAGACTATTGAATTATAATTTAATTTTTGAGATAATTATAAATAAGAAGAAAACAAAGTTTAAATTTTCTGATTAGATTTTCACAATATTTTCTTTTGAGAAAACTATATGAAAATCGAATACTCAGGCTTCTGATAGAATAATTCGTGGAAAGGGTACCGATAAGTACTTTACCATTATTTGTTTTATTTCCAGTGTTCTGATCTGACGAGGATACTCGCAACCGTTCAATAATAGCTGTTGTCAACGATCTGAAGTTTAGATCGTCATATTAACGTTCGAATGATTGCACCTATTATACTCACTCAGTACTAAGTGATGATCCCTTGATGTATAAAGCACCTGCTAAGTTGACACCGAGCCAGCTGGATGGTTTCCACTTGCTTTCCATATAGACAGGGATTATAGTTTTGCCTAATTCTTCTGCATAGGTAAATTCTTTCCGACAATTTTTTGAATCTTGATAAGCTTGTGTTAGAAAGCAAACAACAGCACAAGAATTTTCGACGCCATCTGCCATGCTAAAATATTTAAAAAAAAGATGCGTGGTCGTAAATAGTATATCTTAAAATGAGTCGACCTATAATATTCATCTTACACTGCAAGGGGTGAGGGTGTGAGTGCAAGAAGGAATTGTTGAATTGCAAGAAATACGATAAACTCTCGAGTTTATGTAGAAGGAAATCAGTGCAAAGATATACAAGTCTCCAACAGAACACAAATGCTTGCGAATCTTTTTTTTCTGAAAAGTGATTTATCAATGAGTGGCTCGCGTTGACGATGTGAGCATGCATGTTTCTATCTCCCCCGCCTCTCACTCACATATTCAACCATTCTTTCTGAAGAGAATCGTCAACAAAATTCTCTCTGGAAAATATTTCATAGATATCGAAATACAGCATCGTATATTTTTTTAAGAATAATACATATCTGGGAAAAACTACACGCATGTCTATTTTCTGAAAATATTATCACAGGGAACAACGGATCTTCCTACAGGTCTGATCAACTCTGCTGTCGAGACTGGCACAGACTTCTGTTCTAGAAATCATACTAAAAAACAGCTTAATAATTCTTTTGCTTCTATGCAATTTGTTCTGTTAACTATAAGTAAACATCTCTCTTAATTGTCTTATACATGTGCAGAATATTTTGTTTTCATACCAGAAAAACTCGATACTATAAACTTACCTAACTTGCAAGTTCTCGCGCATTCCTCCTTTTACATCCATCCATACAGCATAACCTTGAGCATTGAGATTGTCGTAGATTTCCAACACGGTCGATTTTTTATCCCACTGATAGGAAAGCATTACATGTTTTTTTCCGCTGGTTGCCATTTTAATCTAAAATGTTCAATGCAAAAGCTCTTCCCATAAGTATTTCAGTATGGTTTGCTGTATTTCTTTTATACAAACACACCTATACCCTCAAGAATAAAATCCGGAAAAGCACACGTTTTTACAATTTTTATCTTCGTTAGCTTGGCTACTGTGTTTAACGCGTAAAAACAAGCAAAATAACGTGTAAAATCACGCTGAATTCCGCGTTGCAACGAGTATCACAGAGTAGACTTCAACACGTTTTTTTAAAGATCATGTCTGCCTAGGTGACTTATAAAATACTTTCCTTCTCTTTGTACGAGAGTGACAATAATTTTTTCTTGAAAAGAAAATGTATCAATGAGAATAAAAAAATATTGCTTCTAATATTGAGAATGTAAGAACGATGAAAAACAAGTTTTTTTTCTTTACGTAAAAGACTGAAGTAAAAAAATTAACGTTTTTTTCGGGAAGGAGAGTATAGGAATGAGAACAAGAAAAATACGTCTGACAATGAGAATGCAGAATCGAGTAAAAAAGTATTTTTCCAACAAGGAGAATATAAGTATGGCAATAAACAAGTTTTTTTTTGAAAAAAAAATGTAACAACACAAACAAAAAACAATTATCTCAGGAGATAGAATGTAGGAATAAGAGTAAGTTGTGTTCGCAGAAAATACATACATGATTTGCTCACTTTTTTGCAACCAAAAATACAAAGAATCCTTTCAGGATCTTTGTCAAAACCCCAATTGCATAGAAAAGAGTTCAATTGGAAGCACAATTTGCGTGATTTATTGTGTTACGATAGCTAGGATACGTATATGTTCGCTCCTTCTTATGATTCTACCATATTCAGGTCGATCTTAAAAGATTATCGTGTCGATGGAAGGAGGACAGAAAGTGGGTTGGATGATGGCAAAGTAAGAATGGTAGTGTGATGCCTCGATTCTTCTGAATATTTAAATTATATATATATACATAATCACTATTAAAAGTAATTTCTTTGACTTTTTTCCCAGCAGTAGCCAAATTCCGTCAGTTCTGAACTCTTCAAGAGTTCAGCACCCATAAATCAACCAAAAAATCATGTATCAATCGTAAATAAATAAAATTCTGTAAACTCTAATGAAAGAACGTATCCACTAAACTGACATGAGTCACGAAAGTGAACAAATAACTAGTTTGTGCGAGTTGTAAGAATATCAAAAAGTCATGCAGCTAAAGAAACTTGTATAATACTCGAAAGTTTCGAACGCAGGTACTATAGAGATCACAAGGACGTTAGGGAAGCTTGGAATCGAAAATATCTACATCTTTTTTTCCAAAAGATTTAAATGTAAAACTTACCCGAATAAAATTGTAATGGCTTGTAAATTTTGGATGATATTGTGAGTGTGTGGTTGAATGTACTTTTCGCGAAATGGTTCGTTTAGTTTATTTTGTAAAATAACAACATTTGTCACTTTTTTTTCAACTACGCATTTTATTGCGAAAGAATGTGCAAAGATTGAAAAGAAGACATTGAAGGCCAGAATACATAAGAAATGTTATTCGAGAGAAGGAGAAAAAGAATTCATATGGAATAAAATGTATTTAAGTGCTGTGCAATCAAACATTGTAGTTGGAAATCGGTATTCTTCATAATGAAAAATAAACATGTCTTCAAAAAAAAAGAAATAAAAATGTGATGAAATAGAACGAATTATGTTATTCATCTAAATGGATTTTATCGACACCATACAAAGGATGTTGATATCTGGTATATCCTTAATACACTTATACATTCATCCTCACCTACACTCTGACTTTAGTCACATCTCTATTAACAAAATATTCAGTCGATAAAATACTTTCCTATCAAAAAAACTTCTCTGTAAAATCTATTGAGTAACTTATATTTGATTGATGAATATCGATTAGATTTTCATTATTTCGAATTTAATTGTTTTGCCTCTTTTTTTAATCAAACTCAACGATTTTACTCTTAAGAATAATAAATAAAAAATATTTCAATTTATTCTCTATAATTACGTATGTCTCTTGATAGAGCAAGAGAAATATGTTCTCTGCTCTCACCCTTTTTCTCGGTTGAATCTATTATTAATTTTTAGAAGTTATTTTCTAATTGATCATATGTTGTTCGATGTTCATCTCTATTTACATTTGAATTAAACAACTGATGACAAGATCAAATATATTTGGCAAGAAAAGAAATCTTAATTTATTGTGTTTCATTGATAAATAAGTCGAAATATTATTTTAATCAAACGATGGACATCGTAGAAACGATTTTATTGGTAGAGAAATAATTTTGAATAATATTTGATTAGAATTTTGTGTTTCTTCAAAATAGTTCGATATGAGATGCCGATGAATAAAGAAATTATGAAAACTAGTTTTTATGCTTATTTATTAATAATAATATTTTCTTCTCTTGAGGGTGAGGTATGAATATCTCATCCTGATGATATCACATTTCGTTAAGAGATCTTTATAGAGAATAAAATCTTGTTTTATTATAGAAAAAAGATAAATGATTAACTATTTCGAGAGTAAGATAAAAAAATTAAAAATTAAAATAAAATTTAGTCCGTAAGTTATATTTGTGAAGATTTCAAATTATCAACAAGTTGCTGTTGATGGATATTGAAATATTATTTTACTACATAATCGAGTATATGCAGCACCATTAAATTGTGCACCTTGTTCGTAATAGACAGTATGAAATCCACCAGTTAGGCAAAAGTAACGCGAACTGGCTTTAAGAAAAAGTGTGTGATTATTCCCACTACCATAAATAACAGCGTTGCTTTCTAAATAAGAGTTTCCACCATCCCAGTTAGAATATAAAACACCAACACCAGCACATAAAGCAATATCATTAAGATATGTTGCTTGACTAGATATAGATAATGATCTATAGATTAAGACCGATGATGGAATATTAACAAGACAGGTTGTATTTGGTGCTACAAAGAAAATTGAAGATAGCCTTAATAAAATAGCTACGATTCTTACCTAATGAAGTTATAACACGCGGAGCTGTTGTCGTTATTGATGGTTTTGTTGTCGCTGATGTAGTTGTTATTAATAGTTTTGTTGTTGCTGATGTAGTTGTTGCCGTTGATGTAGTCGTTGTTGTTGATGTTGTTGCTGAAGGTTTTGTTGTAGTTGTTGACGAAGGAGTTACGGTCGTAGTTGTCTGAAATAAGGTACTGGGTACTGCTTGCACAATTGAATAGGAAGTTGATAAAGCTAATCCGATTCGATTTTGTTGCATATCAAATACACTATAGAAGCGTCTTAAAAAATAATCTCCAAAAATCCATACTGGATTTCCAAGCTGATCTTTTGCGTCCGATGAGAGAATCGTACTAAAGCATTTATATGTAGAAGGACCAACATAAATAAAAAGGTACATTAATGGCGTCAGTGTAAATGGAACTCCGCTTATTGTAACTGTTATATTTGGAAAAGCTGATAAAGGTTTTGTTTGACAATTGACAGTGTACTAGAATAAAATGATGAAAATTCGATTATAAAACTCTTGTTAATAGGTGGAACAAATATAAATATTTCTTACCCATCCGGTGTTTGAATCGTATATAGCTCCTAATAATGTATTTATCGCATTTAAATAAGTTGTTGGAACTACCATGGCAGCTGTCGTTCCCGTATCCAAAACAGCGCTAATGGAATTAGCTATTACATTTGTAGTTGATCCAGTTGATAACTTAACATTATCAGCAATAAACTCCCAATAACCCTGAACACTAACTGGTGCATACGTAAAAGAGCCTGTATATTTTGTTGTATCATAACCACCTAAAATTAATTCGCCTGTATCCGAACCAGTCGATACTCTATTGAATATAATTTGAACAAGAATTTTTTAATATTTAATGAAAATATACACTTACGGTCCGAACCAAAAACAAAAAATTGGGAGACTCAGTTTTCCAGCCAAATACATCGACCACACCACAGGATTTTCACCGCCTTGTGCAATTTTTTGATAACCCAAACCTAGTATACCGTCAAATAATCTACTACTCGCACCTGAAGCTGAATTAATAACAGCAAATGATTGACCAGTAATAGATATTCCGGCAATCTAAATCGAACAAAACGTTATTCTCTTCTTATTCATGTAGATAGCTTTTACATACATTCACTGTATCATTTACAAATACTCCAGTGCTATAAGAACCATCACCATACAAAATTTGAAAAGTTTTATTCCATGCTCTATATGTTGATGATAAACTAGGTTTATATGTATGATTACCACCTGATATTAGAAACGAAAACTTAACATTCAATAACTAAAAAAGTATTCTTTATTTTACCACATGCAGTGCCACATTGTTCGCCTGGAATCCATAGATCAGATGATCCCGTATCAAAAACAGTATAAAATGGCTGACTTGGCGTACCAATTGTTATTAAACCCATCCAATACAACTATTAATTAAAAATATATAAAATATAGATGAAAAAAATTAAAACACTTACACCCCCATATTCATCAAGTGTTGTTTCAATCGCTGATGCGGATCTTTTTGTCTTTGGTATATTTGTATGTTTTCTTCTTATGTTACATTTATATTGAGTAGTATTATCATTACATGCACGGTAGACTTTTTGCATTGTAATACTAATCAATCAAAACAAATATAAATTCTATTTGATTATATTTTTGAAAATCTATACCGTTTTATTCCAGCATCTTTCGAAGCAAAAGTACCTTCACCAGAACTGATAATCACCTTAGCGGTGGTTTGCTTGAAAGTTAGAATTGAAAATGATACCAATACTAGTACACCGAGTAGATACTTGTTCATATTGGTGATGTATTAAAAAAACTATACCCGACGATTTCAATGATATTTTCATCTGTATATATACATATTATATACGATAGTTTTTCCGTTAAAGTTGAAAATTACCTTTTTTTTTAATTTTTAATTAGTCACATCATTTTAAAAAATCTGTCTATACGATGTGAAAGTAATAAAAACAAGAAAAAAAAACACTTTTTATGCACGATAATTAAAGATCGAAGGAAGTGATTTAAAAAAGTATGATTTTTATAAAAATAATTATTATGAACCATATTATTGATAAGTTATGATCGTCAGAGAAAACTGATTGATTAAGTCTCTTTTTTTCTTTACCTTCTTCAGAATACGATACAGACACTGATACGCCAACGTTATTTTCTATTTGATAATTATACAGATAATGAAAAAAAATCATTAATATGTGTATCATATTTGATGAATGATAGAAAATGGAAGACTGGATAGAGAAAATAATGTTGTTTTTTTTTATTTTGTATATACTTTCCTTTTAGACGTTTATTTAATAGATAATAAACTTATTATTTACTGAACTTCATAGAACTCGAGACTTTGAGACCAGTTTTGCAAACCTAGTAAATCGCTTCACGGAAAACAAATACAGAATTGTAAGGAGCACAAATAATAGTAAATCTTATTAGATAAAAAAATTTTAAAAAGTACATCGTTAGAAATTAAATCGTCAGCAATATTCTTGTTTAACTATAACTTGTGTATAACAATGGTGAAGAATCGTTTCACCATTGTATTGTACATGATTTTATCACAATAAATTAAGATGAAAATGATACTTGCTTGGTTGAGATACGTCAGAAGCTCTCAATGACATAGACATCAGGTCATCAACACAGCTATCACAGTGGAGGAGGCAGAAGCAGTCAAAGTAGTGTTTAAGGATTTTGTTCATATATAAATATATTGCACATTAAATTTATATAAACAATCAATTCATTATTTCTTTTATCTTGTATCAAGCAAACATCTTATTTTTGATCATTTATTTTCTGAGTAAACCATTATAAAGTTCTCACTGAACGATAAAAATAATCAAGATGATTTTCGATATGAAGATTATAAGAAATATCTTCGGCATATGTTTTTCGAAAAGTTTAGATGATCCAACAATGTTCATAAGATTAATATGACGAAGAACAAAATGATTATACAACAATGATGAGATTAAAATACAAAATTTAATTTAATTTCGAATTCATAACATAAATAAGAAAGGTTTATTATAGATTTTTAAATGCAATATTTGAAGGATTCTGTGATAGTAAACTTTTCGTATATCTTGAGGGTGTGGGTGTGGGTATAATAAATAAGACACACTCACCCTTCGTAAAAAATGGTACGGAAAGTAATTCGCTTAGTCTCTTATGTCGTATGACGATCGTATTCCCAGAATTAGATAGAATTGATTCCTGGGCGCTGCTGATTCCGTTATATTCAACATTTCGGTATAGGATGACTGCTGCTACACCCTCCCGATGGATCCTTGAGACTCTTTAGGATCTATCGAAATCCATAGGATTCGCTTTTTCCCCCTTGGTAAAAAAATTTTATCTTGGAAGAAAACTTCATTTTCTTACTCTTTAATTATCTAAGATCTATAAAATTAAGCACCAGTACCAATGAAACAACTATCTTATTCAGAGACTTATGGGTCCAGTATAGATATTTTTCACAAAATGAACTGTCTACAATGAACATTATTCATCATCAATGATAAATGCATGAGTTTTATTTTATTTAACAGAAAAATGAACAAAAAGACATCGATCAATGTCTTTTATGTTTTAATAACATAGATTTAATAAAGATGAATGCATTCTGTTAAAACAACAAGCTTTGCTATATTATATAAAAGGGGAAAGAAAGAAATATTCTAAATCTAGTATACAAAAACAAAACAAAAAGAAATTGAATACAGTATCAAATCATATTTAGACAGGCGCTTGAAAAAGATAAGAGATGAGAAAACAAGCTGCTGATGGTTTGATGATGATGAATATAATTCATATGAGCATAAGCCAATGACGTGCTTATGTTGTGCCAAGAAATTCTCATGCGCAATTGATGAAGTGCTTTCATATGTGTAGATAAATAACATATAAATGATCGATGAAAGAAAATTTATTTTGAAGAAGTATTACAATAATACGCTCATTAAATTAATCTTCAATCATGTTTTTTTTTCTTTAAGATTTGGCGCTTCCATTTTCGAGTCACTTCATATAAATATAGAAGAAATTGGTCTGACTAAAAATCCGTTGAGGGTGGATGTGGGTGTAGGTTTGAATATTTGGTATACATGAAAATCATATTAATATCCACATCCACAGCCATTAGTTAGAATGCAGAATTTTTATATTTATTTAATGAACAAAATGAAGTAAAGATTAATTATTGACTTTTAAATTCATTATGAGCAATTATGATTGGCAAATCAAATTATAAAATTAAAGAAGTATCTAACTTTGAAAATACTCGCCAAATATTTTCATCATAAATTAATCAGTTATAATGAATAAAATCCTTAATCAATCTTCTCTACTAATATAAATTAAATTAATGAGAAATACATAGAAACATTTCTTATTCAAATAATATCAATCATTTTCAAAGATTTGATGATACAAAGAAAAATATTAATTCAATCGAAATCAAGAGTTTCCTAAAAGCATATTGAAAGGTGGATTAAACATTTCACTCACAAAATGAGATACACAAATACGAATGAAATAGACTATATAAAAACATGATTTCATTCAAAAACCATAGAAGTACTGAAATGATGAATACTAATTCCAATAATTCTCAGAATTAGGGTCAGTGAATATTTTCATGTCAATACATGTATCTTAGTCCTAGTAAATGATAAAATATCGTTTCAATTTGACGACATTTTGTACACATACTCATGAAGGCCTTGTTGAACAACATAAAAGTTCAAAATATGATTTCTAATTATATCGAAATCATTCTTGTCCTTTTTTCTCTCGATGTTAAACACCTACGTGCATATTCTTTACTTATTTTAATCTTTTATGATTGATGAATCTGGGAGAAAATCGTGATTTTACTTTTCCTAACGTTATTAGAAATATTTTGATTTATTATGTCAATGGTAGATCCAAAATAATAAAAAACATGCTTTTTTTATCTTCATTTATTAAGTTTATGATGAATAATCTTTAAATAGGCAAACATTTTTTTCTTATTTTATGCATCTCCAACTTTGTTTTTCTATCATTTTGAGTCTAAGTCGGCTCAAGTAAGTGTTCGATATCAAAAACTCTCACACCTTCATGATATGATTTTGTAGATATTACATTGCCTTTAAATCTAAAATACTGATATTTAATGTGACAAATTCACATTTCAATTCTTAATAATGACGATAGACAGCCGTTGAAATAACTGACAGCGAAAACAGATTGAGTCTTATAATACTATCATGAAGATCATCGATCATGTTTTATCTTCACATTGTCATGTCAGTCCTCCATTACTTTGCCATTTCATGGAGATTTTGGTGAGAATGAGAGCGAGGGATGTGAGTATAGATGGATCGGAGAATGAGAATATGAGTTTCATATTTGCGGGCCATGAATTAAGAACCTGTATGATAGGGAAGTGTAGGTGTCACTCGTTCATGTTCAATACTAAGTTTAGTGGGAAGTGCTAGATGAACCTCAATAAGTCCGGTGTATTAACGAGTTCATGCCGGAAAAATATTATATCAAAGTTTTTCTTTCTTCTATTTAGTTTCAGTAATTATAACAGTGAACAAGTGACAACCAACGATCAGGAAAAAGGATAATTTATCGTGAATTGAGATCAATGGCAACAGAAATTGATGTCACATCATCAAATACACAGTATGTTAATTGTATTAGTTGAAGTATATATATATATATCACAAATAATAAAAATGCTTTAGAATTCCAGTTGATAGTAAAAAACGACGATTATGTATGATAACCAAAATTAGTGTGGCTTTATTAATTATTGCAGTAGTTGTGATTCCAACAACGATTATTTTAACACGAAAATCAGATACGACAACTAAAAGTATGATGAACATAACTGTATCATTCATAACAACAATATCAAAAACGACAACAACCTCGGTGTCTTTGAAAACCTTATCATCAACCACATCATCAACTACAACAGAAACGACATCAGTTACAGACCCATTTGGTAAGAAAGTTTTATATTCTTCTTTAGTATAAATTTTCTTTCTTTTCGTAATTTTATAGGATTACAAACATTTCGACGAACAAACGAAGTCGTCTATGCTATATGGAATACAATTGCAGGTAATGATAGTTCACCATCGTCACCCGGCGAAACAATAAGTACATATTGGCCTAGTGAACCACCTGAAGCTGCATTAGATGGTAATTTAGATTCAGAATATACCAATCATGGGAGTTGTAGTGGAACTAGTCCAGTACACGCTGAATGCGGAATAAAAACTGGTTTCTATATAACATTCAACAGCGAACCGTTCATTCTCGTGAAGTTCCGTATAGTTACACACAAAGGTTATCCAGATCGAGATCCAAACACAATTACAATTGAAGGTAGCAACAATAACGAATCCGATTTAGTTTTTGGAAAAAGTTGGACTTTGATTTATGATGGCGATGCAGGTCTCACGAAAGATCCAGGAAGACGAGCATATGGTGTTACACAAACAATATCCAATAACTCGTTGTCGTTTGCAAGCTATCGTGTTCTCATCACTTCAAAAAGAGGAAAACACGTTTGTGTTTCTTACTCAGAATTTGAGATGATAGGGCGATTTCCCGACTGATATGTTTGAAAAACATTTAACTGACTAACAGCGCATATTAATTATCAAAGGAAGCCTCTGTTTTCTGTTTGCTTATTTCTGAATCGCTTTTTGAATGTAATTGTGTTCGTATTTAAATATCAAGTGAGGATGTAGATGTGGGTTTGAATCTAATGAATATTCCTTTTTTCCTTACGCTATTCCTAAATCTTTTAATTATTATGAATAAAATAAAATACAAATGAAATAATTTATTATGACAGATAAATTGACATTTATATACGAATACTTTTTCCCTTCATTTGAAAACATTTTCTTTCTTTTTTAATCGATTTTAGGGTGGGTGTGGCTGTGGGTGTATCAAAAATGAAGATGAAATCCACACCCACACCCACACCCAAATTATTTTTACATTTAAATATTAAAAAATCAAAAGTGAAAAGTAAAAATTTTTTAATTAACCAAAACTTTGATAATCAAAGTTTGATTTAATCTTAAAATATTCGAATTTATTCCTAAAATCCAAATAAAAAGAAAAAGCAAATAAAGTATATTTTATAATATTTTACTAGTTAACAAAATGATTCACCGAATTTTATTAAATTAAAATAATTAAATGGTAAAGGAAAACTGAATGATTTTTCTATTTCATTGATAAATAAAAGAAAATTAAAAAAAAATCTCTCAATTAAACGATTATTTAACAATAGAAAGGGTAGGTGTGGGCGTGAACATGATAAGGAGAAGAATATAATATCACCAGCCACCCACACGCACACCCACCCTCAAGACTTGCATCCGCATGTGTTTGATCATATTCATTTATAAATTGGCCAATGAACTAGAATGACCTCCAATATCATTATAAGTTAATGATTTATTTATACATGTTTCATAATTTTCTATTAATGTGAATACATAGATACTAAAGATAAATATGATGAATAACAACTATGTAATGGTTTGCTTTATTGTGTTTAAGCTATCGTGCCATAATTGATGAACTAATTTCATTTGAACATTTCAATGTAAAAAAAGGTGTTTCACTATACAGGTATGTTATTTTAATAAAGTTTCGAAATAAATACCGATGAAAGAGTATGAAAATTATGTCTCTTATTGTTGTGTATTCACTATATCGTTATCGAGATGAGTTTACAACTCGTTTTATTTTAGAAACATCCATTCACACCCACCCTCAAGATTCAGCTGAATTTTGAACTTATATAGGATAATCGATTATATAAATTTATTCATAAGATAAAAAGCAAAGCAATGGTAAATGATATAAGCTGAAATATAAAGCAAACTTGAAAATAAATAATAGTTTATATGAGTTTTTTCATTAAATTAATAA